ACACGCTCACCAGAAGTAGGTGTGTACCTGCCGGGAATATGCCCACATGTTCATTGGAACACGCCATTGCTGCCCCGTTCATGTGGCCCCAGACTGGAATCTGCCCAGGGACGCGTCAGCAGTGAGGAGCATGTGGGCTGCGGTTCATCCACACGGTGGAGGGATGGGCAGCAGCTGGGATGGTTTCCACAAACACGTTGTTAAGTGAAAGGAGCCAGACACACAAGAGTGCACACTGTGTGAGTCCTCTTGGTATCCGGTGCACAGACAGGCAGAGCTAATCTGTTCTCTTCAAGCCAGGGGAGTGGTCACCCTCGTGTCAGGGTGAGTGTAGATGGCTAGTCCTGGAGAGGAGCACACTTCTGCATGTATGTTCTACTTCAATGAGAGAGAAAACAGACCAGGACAGTCAGTCAGCCCCTGCTAGCGTGGAGCTCGTGGCTGCTGACATGGGGACGTGTGTCTCAAATGATTACCGATTTGATGAGTGGCTTGAGGGAAGTATACACCATATTATGTGAATATGTAATGCAGACATTACTTGATACGGAGGCTAAATTCGTCCTTGAAGTTACTCATCATTTCTGCTGAGTCCATTTCGGGCATGTAGTGGATCATCTTGTGACTGAATCATTGACCCTTAGTTAACTAAGAGTCAGTTAACTGAGACTCGGTCAACTGGCCCTTAGTCGGTTAACTAAGAGTGTGGTGCTTTCTTTGGAAGAAATGAGCTGTGTGCGCTGGGGTGACGGCAGAGGCCTCAGTGGATCTGTGGTCGGGTCCCAGTCCACCCTGCCTGCTGTGTGATCTCAGGCAAGTTACCTAATAGCCTGGTCTGTGTCTCCCTGTCAGAAATTGGCAGTGTTGTGAAGAGTAAATGAGTCATGTGCACACATGTGTAAGCACAGGGGCTTAGCCATGCTGCTCCAAATTAAAAAAAAAACAAAACACTGTTTGTACTTTCTTTTTTTTCTTCTCTCTCTTTTTTTTTTTTTGCTGACAAAGATTTGCCCTGAGCTAACATCTGCTGCCAGTGTTCCTCTTTTTGTATGTGGGCCCCCACCACAGCATGGCCATTGGCAGACAAGTGGTGTGGGTCCGCGTCCAGAGAGCTGAACCCAGGCCACCAAACCACAGCGCGCTGAACTTAACCACTAGGCCACCAGGGCTGGCCCTGTACTGTTCTCTTGATTCAAGCATGCTGTTGATCGCGTGGTGGTACTAACCGTGATGACAGCTTTGTGAGGAAGGAGAGTGCACTGCCCAGTGTGGGAGAGGGGCACCCACCTGCGGTGATAATGGTGTGACGTTGGCTCTCTTGGTTTCCCGGGCTCCTGGAGGTGAGGCCCGGTGCTGGGTCAGGAGTTCACTGCCTCGGTCCTCAGGGAGAGCCTGCAACTGACAACCGAATTCGGAGATAAATTGTGGTTCCAATTAAAAAGTACTGTTAACTTTCTATTTTTATAATGAATGTTTTCTCCATAAGAAAATAATGTTTAAATGATAACTGCTTTGTTAACCTACACTTATTGGGAAAAAGGTAAATAGTACGGCGTGCAGAGTAGTAAGGAAAAGTCAGATTCCCCCCCCCCCGCACCCCCCAACGATGACCATGCACGTGCTATTATCAAGCTTTTTAATTGTTGCCAACCTAAGTCAAACAGCGAATTTTGAATTTTCATCTGTTTGATCGCTGGTGAGCCTCTCCTGTTTCACGTTCATGTCTGTTTTATAAGTTGCTTTGCTTGTGCTTGACTCCTTGACTTTCACCCATTTTTTTTTTCTATTGGAGGTTGGCTTTTTTTTTTTGGATTATTTGTAAAAACGTCAGAAATAGTCTTTGTCACATATTTTGCCATGCATTCTTTTAACTTTTTTTTTTTTTTATCATTCAGACATTGTTTACGTAGTCAGATCTATCAGTTTTTACTTGCAGGAGTCATGATTCTAACATCATGTTTAGAAACCCCTTTCCCACACAATTATTATAAAACGATGTCCCTGTGTTTTTTCCTAGTACTTTTATGGTTTTCTTTTTCCTTTAAACATTGGTATTTAATCCCTTTGAAAATTATTTTTATGTGAGATAGGAAGTCAGGTCCAACTCGATATCCCCCAACCCCAGGGCTGGCCAAGTGTCCTAATGTAATTGCATTATCCATCCTTCAACTAGTGATTTGAGATGCCGCCCAGTATCAATTTTCCATATGTTTTCACTTATTTCTGCATTTTGTATTATTTATCTATTTTTGCAATGGCACCGCTTCTTTTCTTTCTGAAGCTTTAAATCTTTCATTATTTAGGGAGGCACGTTCAGGCCTCCTGCTCTTCAAACCTTTCTGGACTGTTCATGCACATTTACTCCACCAGGTGAGCTTTCAAATTACTTTCTTAAGTTGGTAAAAATACTAATGTATTGGACTAAATCTTGATAGATCCGAGGAGGGGAGATGGAGTGTCTTTTTCATGTTTTCCCATTCGAGAACATACTCTGCTCTTTTTAGTCAGGACTTCCTTCAAGTTCCTCTGCGTTAGAGATGTCGCTCACACAAGCACTAGAAGTGCATATAACAAGACTGAGGAAGTGAAACACCCCGGCATTACTTGCTCCCTTGCCTTGTGGACCTCCGGCTCGCTCTTATATAACACCAGGGCATGCAGAGCTTAAACCTCACCGCATCAGTGACTGCGTTCCACGGGGACTCGGAGCCCGCCCGGTGCTGGGGTTCAGCTGCCGAGACAACTGTCGCTCGGTCCAGAGGAGCCTGCACGAAGGAGCAGAGCCCAGCGCAGCTGGAGATGCAGTTGTCTTCGGTCCGCTAGTCCAGGCGTCGCCTGTGCTGCGGGGGTGTGTCTGGGGGAGGGGAGATGGAGAGTGTGCATGGCCCGGGGCTCCGGACTCGCCATCGCCACCATTGGACCTGGTGACTGGGGCCAGCTGGCAGTGAACATCTACTTGTCACCCAACCTGGGGCGCTTCTGAGGGTGGAAGGGGACACCAGGGACCATGGCAGGCTGACTGGGGTATACGGTCCCCAATGAGCACTGACTGCATTTGTGACGTGACTTGAGACGCCCGAGACCTTCCTGACCTCTGATTCTCTAGGTGAGGAGACAGTCACAGCACGGCTCCTCACATTTGGTTTGAATCTCCCGTGACCACACCATCAGATGACAAGTGCACATTCTGCTCCCCCATGTCTCTGCCCCCTCTCCTTTGGGGGAGCTGTGCTGGTATGGCTCTGCCTCCTGGGCTCTCACTGCTGTGTTGATCCACGTCAGCAGTGGGGGGTCCCCGAGAAGCGTGTGCTTACCATCTACCTTGAGTTGGCACCAAACACAGGCTTGTAGTGTTTTATTTGCACCCGGATTGGGGCACACGAAGTGCTTGATGTCTTTGTGAAAAGCCACCCAAGTGATGTGAAGGTGGCGTGTGTGAGAAAGAGCAGTTGCTTGAAGGCTGTAGGCCTAGTGTGGCGCCGTTGCCTGCAGGAGCCCGAGGGCCACGCGGAGGCCTCAACATCACTTGCCGCAGAGCTGTGGTCCACCCCCGGGCCTCTGCACCCCGCTGCTCTGTCAGTCTTGCCCTGTTCTCTTGCTTCTACTTCTCTTCACATTCGTTTTCTCCTCCAGGTTTAGTGAGAGCTAGTAGAACTGGAATTTGTAATATTTAAAACTGTGCCAGAATAAAGAGTTAAAGTTAGAATGTTTCTTTTGGGTATTATTTACAAATAACTTAATTATCACTAGTACTAGACAGGGGCATGGATGTCTGTGATCTAAAAATGGTAGGCAATTCAAAGGTTTTATGAAGTTGTTTTTGGGCAAGTTCACAGTATTTCAAACAACAGGTCAGTTCCTTGGTTTTCTGTCCATTTTTCATGTACATTTTTAAGGCAGTCCCTAAGTCATTGATTCTCATTTTTCCTGGTCAGAGCTGTGTGGAGACATTCTTATGACATCAGGAGGTTAGGATTCCTTTCTTTCTTTTTTAAATTTAGTCACTCTCCGAGGTTGGTTTGCTGGGTCCCCTTAAGGGTTCTTCAAGGTTGGTCAGGTGTAGCTGGATGAAGCCCGTCCCCTTTCCTGGGATCTCGGTCGGCCTGCTGCCTGACGTGCACCAGCCCCACCCTTCGCCTTCCTGACCTCGGGGCTGCCCCTGCGTTCCTGTGCCTCTCTCCCTAACTACTGGGTTTCTTCCTGCAAATGCGAGACAGTGTCCCCATCCCAGGAATGGGGTGCCCTGGCATGGACTGCTGAGGGAGATTCTGCAGCTTGGGTTTGGCAGAGAGGAGGTGAGAGAGGCTGGTGTGTGGAAGCTCACTGGTCTGAGGTGTGCTGGACTGTCCTGGCCCTGGACTGTGTCCTGGTGCCCACTGTCCAGGTGCTGACGAGGTCTCGCCATGAGGTCCCACCCTCGTTTCCACTGTCTGATGCGTGCCATCTTCAAGTTCCCTGTTCAGTTTTAGCTACAACTCTTAGAAACCAGTTTTAGTGTACATTTGGAATGATTTTAAGGCAAGTCCATTCTGGCTTGTCTCCAAGGGCTACTGGGGTCAAAGTATCAAAAACAGCTAACCAGTAAAGATACCTCACCCCAAACTCACCTCCTCTGAGAGGTCGTCCTCCCAGGTCTGGGGCTTGGTCTAACAAGGCTGCCTGTGTCTTCGGATTTTACCAAACAAGTGTTGCTCATTTACTCAATACTTGCGAATTCAAGGTAAAAAAAAAAAGATTGAATCTGCTCTGGGGAGCAAACAATCAAGAAGAGCAGACGGTCAAGTGAGCAAGAGGCAAGGCTCAGGCCTCCTGCTGGCCGGGCACCCTACGGAGAGGAGGGCTCCTTCCAGAATTAAGCCCAAGGAGAGAGAGCCTTGGCCAGAAGACTGTTGTTTTGAACATGGTGTGCTCAGTGAAATGAGGCCGCCGGTACCTTTGACACGCGGAGAGTGAGTTGTGACAGGTGTGTGCTGACTCCTGCGTTTGCTTTGTCCCCGCAGGCTGGCTGGTCCGACTCTGTGCTCTGGAAGCTGAACCAGTGGCTGATGATCCACATGTTCCACTGCCGCATGGTTCTGACCTACCACATGTGGTGGGTGTGCTTCTGGTACTGGGACAGCCTGCTCAGCAGCCTCTCCCTGCCTCACTTCACCCTCTTCCTCGTTGGACTGAGCCTCCTCACACTAGTACTTAATCCGTATTGGACCCATAAGAAGACGCAGCAGCTTCTCAATCCAGTGGATTGGAACTTTGCACAGCCGGAACCCAAGAGCAGGGCCAATGGCCAGGTCCTCCAGAAGAAGGCGCGGTAGCTGCTGGGAACCCGGGGACCCGGGGAAGCAGCGGCTGGCGGGTGGACCTGAGGGTCCTGCAGTAGTGACTGTGTTGCAGTGAAGTAGCAAGGCTCTGCGTCTAGTGCTGTTTCTACGTGAGACTAACTCGTGTTTCTTTAGCATTAATTTCCAAGTAGCCACAAAGTATTTTTAAAACCTTGATTTGCTTTCAGGAGCAGATTTTTGCATCGTAATTTCGTTGCCTGTTATGAGTGTACCATGTGGGGCCGTGTTTATCCTCAAGGAAGGGTCCGTGGCTAGAGGGTGGGCTTTGTTTGAACACGTGAGGAGACTTCATACTAGAAGTGGCATGTGGTAGGGGGTCAGGTCAGCGTCGATTCTTTCTAGTCACATGTTCCACGCTGTGTGTTTCTTACTCAAAAGTCGTGTTCTGCTTAGTTGGAAAGAATTGCCCTAAAATAGAAAATAACACTATTTGTTACCCTTGTTAAAATTTCCCGGGGAATGTGTGCGGCAGTGCCATCTAGTGGCAGAACGGTGTACAGAGCCCGGCCTCGTGTGTACCCACCTGATGTGAATGTGGGCAGTGAGATGACGTCGTGAGATTTTCTTTTTTTATCAAGGACGCTACATTAAAACAAGAATTTTGTATTCACATTGTATTGCACAATTGACAAAATAAGGTAGATATTGAGTAATCAGACTCGTCTAGATTTCAGGCTGTTTTTAGTTGACCAACAGGTGCCCCAACAAGACTGTAACTCCTTGGTTGGTGTTTCTCTGTAGATTTCCAGACAGGGTAGTGGTCACTTTTCCCTGCGAGCTGTCGGGTCGACCTTGCCCGCAGAGATGCTTGGCTGCAGGGTCTGAGGTCCCAGAACGTCGGAGGCAGACCTCCAGGCAGGCGTCAGAGCCGCCTTCCTCAGCTGTCTGAGGATGGTCCCCAGGTACCTTGTTTCACTGTGTTCACAGTGCCGGGATAGAATTCATACCCAACCTGGCAATTTTACTGGCAGATATACAGACATTCTTGCTGTAAGTGTACATTAAAATTAAAAGTTTATTTTTATCGAAAGCACCTTTGAAGTGTTTATGAAAAATGCATCATGTTTATTGGTTGTAAAAATCGTGTGACTTGTGCTTGTTATGTAACACAGAACTCGCAGAATACTGTATTTTGATTACTGGTACTTTGACTATATCAATTATGCTTGGGTCATATGTATTACCTATTTATCTCATTTTAAAAAGTAATGTAAATCTCAGAAATGTCCAGCAAATCGTGTCTCTGCTAGACTACTAACTGAGAGCCCGTGGCTCCCTGCCGGCCTGCACTCGTGCCCCTTCTCGTGGAAGCAGACGGGGCTGTCTTCCAACCACGTAGAAGTTTAATAAAGCGACTGATGTTTACAGAGCCTAGAGGATGTCAATTCTTGTTTCCCAACACTGTTCGTATCGCTGTGAATGTTTTCTGTCTCAGCGATACAAAGTGTGATGATAAATCTTTGTGTGTTCAAAATTCAGTTTAAGGTTTGAAATATTTAGCTTAATTTTTATCTCACCTTCGCTAGGCCTTTGACCTCCCCAGGGTTTACCATTTACATCTCATATCTCGATGAAGATGCAGTTTGGAGATGTACCATAGAACACATGAGCTGGCCTCCACCCACATGTTGGTGCTCCATTCTGACCGGGGACTCCTCGTGCAGAACACGGAGGCAAGGGTGTTTGGGTGGAAAAGGCTTTTTGAACCCTTATGATCCAGGACCCGTGCACCTTTATCACCCAGGGACTGGTAATGCCTTCCAGTTTGTACAGTGCTTTCCAGACTCTTCACCAGGCCCAGGGCACCCCACCCCAGCCATGTGTGTGGATGAGGGCTACGGATGAGGGGATAGCGACACCAGCACATTGAAGTGACGCTTTAGAGCCACAGCTCGTACGTGCAGAGTTGGGGCGTGCGCCTGCCCGGCCAGCCCGGGTGCCGGCACTGCAGCCTGCCAGCTGCACGTGCTCTGTGTGCCTCACGCATTGTCTGTCGAGAGTTATAGCAGATGCTGAACTGGGAGAGTTCACATAACAATCAGAAATTCTGGAGTCTCTTGAAAAACGGGAAGATCTGGGGTGTCAGCTTGAGTCTCCTCTGGATTACAGGTGTCCGAGGTGGAGACCAGCTCTGCCCTTGCCAGCCGTGCGCTCTCCAGCTTGACCTTGACGTGGAGGTTAGAGGTCATCATTATCACTTGGCACTGCACCATCGTTTTGGTAGAGAAATATTTCTCTCTTTTTTTCTTTCTCAAAATGGGAAAACAAAACAGGCCAAGGAGGTAGAGCGAGTCAGGGAAGGGGCAGAGTGCACTTTGTGGAGGGGAGGACCACTTCTACCCCGCTCCTCTGCGTTCCTGTGGACCCTGGAGGCGGTGGACGGAGCCTGGGCCCCCTTCGGGTCTCAGATCCCACGGTCACCTCACAGTCCTCCTGGACTCTAGGCACTGTGCTAAATAACCTACGATTTCTCGTGTTCTTCACACAGACGACCTCTGAGGTAGGCTCCGTTGATTCCATTCCCAGTTAGGACCCTGAGGCTCAGAGAGGTGGAGACTGGCTAGTAGGTGGCACGGCTGGAGCGAGGCCAGACTTGTATTTGGACTTGCTCTTGGGTTTCAAAACAGGCTCGTAGATGTGCGTCTAGCCCAGAATGCGGTAGAGCCCTGACTGATCATTGCCAGCTGGCAGAGCTGCTTCCTGTGCATGTGGACTCCAGGCTCTGTGAGAGGAGGGGCTCATGTCTGTCTGTCTGTCCGCCGGCTCACCCATGTCCTGGCAGTCCTGGCCTGGCGCAGCTGCAGCAACAACTGGTGGGTGAATGAATGAACAAATGAAAGGCCGCCCTGTGTCCCTCGAGCAGGCTCCATCAGAGAACAGGTGGCAGACTCACGGGGTTCTTGAAGAACTTGTACTGCACGGTATTTACGAAGAGATGGGCAGGGTTGTATAGGAAGCAGCCCCACCCTCGCTCAAGGGCATCCGGCAAGGTGTTGGCCGTAGGTGACCTTGGTGGAGAACTGGAGTCACTGCAGACTGGTCGGGAGAGTCTCCAGCCTCCGGCAGCAGGCGGGAGGTAGGGTGGCGTCTGTCAGGATCCGCGAGCCTCTTCTTTGCACCATAGGTGTCGACATCGGTGTGTCTGTCGGGTTATTGATGGTGCACTGAGATTTCCCTTAGTCGTGTCTGAGTGCTTCACAAAGAGAGACCTTCCTTTTCCTCTCATGTGAACACCCACAGACAGACAGACGCAAAATGCAGGAACCCGTCTTATTCTGCCTCTGTGCAGTCGACCGTGAGGACGCCCACTGCCTCAGACTGCCAGGTGTGCCCTTGGGTCCTTTTCCTCCTTGGTCAGCACAGCGGCGCAGGGTGTAGCTCGCAACCTCCTGCTCAGACAGCGCCCAGGGTAGGTAGCACCAGTTAGGATGCTTCCAGATGCACACATCCCCCCCGCCCCCCACTGTGGCTTCAGCAATAAGGACCTAGAATGCTTTCAGGGAGCTAGAGCTGCTGGTGGTGGGACCGGCTTGGCCCAGCCCCCGAGGGGGGATCTACCCTCTGGGGTCAGAATAGAGGGAGGTCAGCTGCAGCTGTCGCCCCTGCGGGGTCCTCCACCCTTGGGGTCCCCAAACCAGGCTGCCAGCTTCAGGCTCGCACCCTCATCTGTCCCTTCAGAAGTGAGTTCACTTGAGCTTGTGTGACGGACATGGGCTCTGGGAAGGAGGAAGAGGATGGGGTGCTGTGAGCCGGTGCGCCGCACTGCGCAGACACATTTCTAGTCTGAGAGTGAGGGTTTCAACTCACGTACAAGGACATCAACATAAGTGATCCCCAAACTTCCGTGGGTGCCTATTGACGCTTTCAGTGCACCTCTGTACTCAAGTTCCTTCTGTTTGCTCTGATGGGAGAGCTTATTCATTCAATATTTCTCTTTTTAAGTGAATCTTCCCTTTTTTCAGTAACTGTAATATACTATGGTAGGTATTGTCTTGCCTGATCATGTTTAGAATACAGTGATGTGAAAAGTTCAGAAATCTCCATTTTCTTTCTCCTGATGACTCAGAACCCAAGTGTTCTGGAATGGACTGCAGCGTGTGCAGGGCCTGGTGATCTTCCCTGAGCACCGCCTGTGCGCCAGCCGTGGGGAGGAACAAGAAACCACACCCTTCCTTCCCAGGACACAGCCAAGAGTCCTGGACACAGGCGCCCGCTTCCCAGGGACACAGTCCTACGTGACACACACGGGGACAGAACTCTCAACTTTCTACGCCGGGAGCCGTACCACGTGAACCCACTCCTTTCTCACTGTATACATGTTCCTTTTACTCCCGTGTTATTTTACATTTGACATTTTCAGTGTTACGCTCCTTTCTGTGGAAAGCCTTGCTGTCATGGACTGCGTGTCTGTGTCCCCCCGAAATTCACATGTTGAATCCTAACCCCCCGTGTGATGGTGTTGGGGGGGGCCACTGGGAGGAGATGAGGTCATGAGAGTGGAGCCCCCATGATGGGATTAGTGTCCT